TTAACGAAGGCAATTGATCTTCTTCGAATATATATATATATATATATATATATGTATATATAAATATTCATAAAACTATAAAACATCAAAATATAACAGTCATTCTTTGAAAAAAGGATGCGTCTTGTACTTTATAAAATCTGGCTCATCCAACTTCTCTCTAGCCTGTCGGATATCTCCTTGAATGGCTCCAATCAACTCATCCAAAGATTTAAAATTTCTTTCTTGCCTAAGAAATCCCAACATGGCCACCCGCAATTCCTTTCCATAAAAATCCTCATCATAAGTATTCAGAATATGTGTCTCCATTGATTTAACGTCGTTTTTATAAAAAGGATTCCATCCAATACTCATCACCATTTTATGAACTTCGCCCCGATCCACGGAAGCGAACCCAAAATAAACGCCAGTGTCCAAGTCCGCTGGTAAATTGTGCACAACATCCATAGGAAAATTGGCCGTCGGGCAACCCAATTCCTTCGAACCTCGTCCGAATCCCTTGATAACTTCTCCCTTGGCAAAATGAGGCAAACCCATGATCCTTCTGCAGATATTTCGAAACCGGTCGAAATTGAAATGGTACGCCACTGTGGGCAGATAATGTTCAGGAGTTTGCGCTTCCACTCAACACACCGGTGCGGCTCTGTCAGAAACGAAAACCAATCATTAGTTTTGTTTTGAAAAATAAAAGTAAATCAAAAGTTCAGCAAAGATAAAAAGGGCAATTATGCTCGAAGTGAAAGAAGATTCTGAGAAAAAAGTAAGTAATCTCACTGATATTTTTGACAGGAATTATCGTTGCTTATGTAAACACTGGCGTCCTCCGTTCGACCTTTCACCGTCATCAAACCACTAATCAACTGATTCGAGTGTTGCCGGCAGAATTATGTTTTTGATTCATGTAAACGACTACACTGTGCAATTACAAGATAAAGAGTAACCGCTTAGGCTAGATATGGTGTCACCAAAAAATATAATGCTGAAACTTGTGGTGTCACTTTCTATAAACTGTGGCTATTATTACGGGTCAGGGTAATGGATTGTTCTAAACACGTTTTGATAAAAGCACTTGTAAGGGAAGCGTCAAACTACCCCTAGATATGAATTTTATGCACTTGATACAAATAAGAGAGACCGAACTTGGTCCTTTAATTACACAAAAACAAAAAAATCTCATCCAAGACTGACCGATTACTAAGCTAGTGGGGAACTAGAGAATGGGATACTAGATAAATACATATCGGATGGGTAAATGACTGATGTTCTAACTTCTAATCATACTTCGCCTGAATTTCTTTCAAATATAATATTGATGACATACTATAGTAGACCAGGCAAACGTTGTTCGTTGTTCTGTCATATGAATTATTTCATGTGAATATTTTGGTTGTTAAATAAAATAATTAAGGTATTGTGAAAATGGGGATGGGGTAGGTGAAGGTTTGGAGTTATAGGTATTTA